AAAAGCAAAATTAGAAGAATTAAAACAAATTGAAGGACAACTTCCACCAATTGAAGAAGCAGAAAAAGCATGTGAAGATGCTAATATTGAAGATAATGAATATACTGATGTATCATTTGATGATCTTCAATTTAATTATGAACAAACAATTTCTATGTTTGAAAAGAAGATTGTTTATATTGAAGCTCAAATTAATGAAGCTTCTAGTGGAGTTACTGCAGAACAAATGCAAGAATTTAAACAAAGCTTTGATGCATTTGATGGAAATCATGATGGAGTTCTTGATAAACTTGAATTTAGATCATGCTTAAGTTCTATGGGATTAATTGATATTGATTTCACAGGAGGAGAAGATGCTCAATATGATGCTATTTATAATAATGTTACAAAAGGAGAAAATGGAGTTTCATTTGATAATTATGTCCAATATATGAAAGAAAAGAATGATGAAAATCCATCACCAGAACAACTTAATGAAATTTTCTCTACAATTGCTGCTGGTAAAGAAATTATTACTGAAGCTGATATGCAAAAAGCTGGTATGAGTGCTGAACAAATTGAATATGTTAAATCTAATCTTCCACAAAAAGATGATGGTTATGATTATGCTGCTTGGGTTAAGACTAATTAATTCATTCAATTCTTTTTTATTATTTTTTTATTTTTAATTTCAATGAATATCTAGGATGTATTAAACTGAAGAGAGGAATTTTACAAGGTGATTCCTTATCCCCTCTACTCTTCATCATCCAAATGAATATAATTTCTCAAATCATAGAAGAGAAGTTCCCAAAAGCAAACCATACATTGTATATGGATGATTTGAGAATAATGACACAAAGTAGCGAAGAAATGGGAACAATCCACAATGAAATTAAAGAAATAATATGTGGAATAGGGATGGAAATGAATGAAAAGAAATCAGGAATGGTATTAAAGAACATTAATAAAATACCAGATGGAATGCAAAACATCCAAATAATTGAAGGAGAGGACTTGTATAAATATTTAGGTGTATGGCAGTCCGATGAAATTAATGATACCTTCAATTGTAAAATCATCAAAGAAAAGATGATGAAGAAAATGGAAGAAATAAATGCTGATGAAAGTAGTAATAGAAGTTATATTACAAGAATTAATACTGAAGTAATACCCATCTTCAGATATTCAGCATCAGTAGTAAATTGGAAGGTAACTTAGATAGAATGGATTTGGAGATAAGAAAATATTTAAGAAAGGCAAAATACATTGGTGCCGGTAACTCCAAAGACCGTCTATATGTCCCTATAAATGAAATGGGTGAAGGATTAATAAGCCTAAGGGACGAATATGTTATTGAATTAATCAGAACAGTAATGTACTATTGTACAAGAGTGAAATAGGAAATAACATAATAGATAGATGGTATTCCAAGAAAGGAATATGGAATAGAATTAAAAAAGCCCTAGGTCATAAAATCACAGAAACGAAAATAGAAGAAATAATAAATGAAGGGATTGAAAATAAAAAAGAAAAAGAAGTAGTATTAAAAATAAAGAAATTAATGACAACCAATACATCAAAAAATGGAAGTCCCATCAAACAAGTGGACATTTTAGAAGATGGTTCGAGTCAAAATTTGTAGATAAAACTACTACAATAAATGCATGGAAGTCCATCAATATAAAGAAAAATGCATTTCTCCAATTAACTAAAATGCAAGATGGAGCAATATTTAGTGGGTACAGGAAAGCGAAAATATTAAAAAATGAAAGATTAAAGTACTGCCCACTTTGTAAAGACAAGATAGCCACAGTAGAACACATTCTACTATCTTGCATTGGTCATAAGAAATCACAAATGGAGAAACATGACCATATTGGCATTATCATATGGGATAATAAGAAAATACACAGGAAATAAACAATACAAGAAACCCCCATATGAAACAGTGTTCCAATACAATGACATCACTATGATATTGAACAAACAAATAATATCAAAAAGTGATGGACTATATCATAAAAGACCAGATATATATGTACTAGATAAGAAGAATAAAACTGGTCTAATATTTGATATGACTATTGTGGCAGATCATAATATTAATGGAGCCTATTGGAAGAAAAGAAATATGTACAAGGAATTGAAAAATAGGCTAATGAAGATAGAGAAATTAAAGGATGTCAAAATAATTCCAGTAGTAATTTGGATTAATGGGCTAGTAAATGCCGAAAGTATTAAATTAATCAAACAATTAAAAATCGAAATAGACATCACTAAAGAAATTAAAAACCTTGTAATTAAAAACATGATGGATGTCATGGAGCACTGTGGAGATCACAACCAAACATATGTAGTTGAACTACAAGACGAAGACGAAGGGACGGGATTAGTCTCCCCTGAGCCAGGAACAATAGACACAAGTTCTATTAATACTTAATTAACTTATTTATTATTTTTTATTTTTAATTTCTTTATTTTATTAATTTTAAACAATATCTTAGAATAATTAAAATTGTTCAACTTCCGCTTTGAGCAATTCGAATAGATTTGATAATTATCTTTTATTCAATACTCTATCTTATTTTTAAGTTAATTTTCATTGCATTTAAACGATACTTATTAAAGGTACATGCAAAAACATTGATTTTTTTAAATGAAAATATAATTAGAAAATTATCGTTTTCTTGAAATGTTGAAGTCATTTCCCGAATAATTAAGAAAATATGAAGCATTAACTAAAATTATTAATGATCGAAACAAAAATAGAACTTGTGGAACCATAAAGAAGAGATAAAACGAAGAACTTGAAATACCATAAAGTTGTGAAATAAAAACATAAATAAAATGAAAAAAAGTAGGAAGATTCCGCAAGAATCAACAAACTTCTAATCAAAAATTACAAAGAGGATGAGAAAAATATGAACAATGGCAAGAAGAGAATGGAAGATCCTAGGATCATTTGAGGAACTCATATTAAAATTAAAAGAAAAGAATGATGGATATGTCTATTAAACAGAAAAGACAATCTGAAAGTTGTAGAAAGTCTGCTTTTCAATGGGTACAACTACCATCAAATTGTTATATTATTGATAGTGTTGATAATGAATTTTATGAAAAGAGAGATCAATCTTTGTTTAAAAAATTATGTAAAGGAAAGAATTTTGAGTTAACTGCCGATGAAATGATGTCTTCTAGAGCTTGGACAGAGCGTTCTACTGTTTATGTTTTGCTTAAATATTTTTATTGGAAATATACTGAACCATCTGTTATGTCATTACATGAAATGTATAAAACAATTGCAGCTTCTGTTGCTCTTGATATGGGGATCAATAAAACTTCAACTCAAATAAGAGATAAAATTAATAATGTAAAAAGCGGTTATAAAAAAGACAAAAAAGCTCTTCGTGATTCTCCTCATTCTGATGTTATTTCCTTAAAATACATATCATCTACATTGTATGATGTGATGGATAAGTACTTTGATGAATCCAAAGTAAAAGAATATGGTAATGTTTTAAAAGAACTATCAAAAGACATTCATCAACTTCTTCACTAATTTCTCATATATAATGTTGTAGATAATTTAAAATTGATTTATTTATGCTTATTTCTTTGTTTTTGTAATCATTCTTTTCAAACACATCTTAAATCTCTGACAAAAACTTTTAATAATCCTTTGTTGTTTTCTATCATTAGAGATATTAAACAATCTCTATTGAATTACATCATTTTTGAAGTCCAAGAAATCAGAACGAACAGTTATCATATCAATAAAAAAATGTGTGATTTCTAGTAAAGAGAAGTTAAAGACAACACCTACCAAAGACATGTTAAGCAGTTTAACTAACTACAATAAACAACTGTTTATTTGTTAATAACAGTAAAAGAGGTTTCACTTTAAACAATAATAAATGTAAAGTATTTCAACAAGACTACTAACAAGGAAAATAGTATTAAAACCATTAATCTCTTAACAGAGACAATGGGGTGTAATTTCCAAATAAACTAATAACTCGTTTAGAAGTGGCAAGTCTTTGTATGAAATAAGTATTGAGTTTCAGATATTAATTATAACATATTGTCCCAATTTGAATAAAGAGATCACTAGCATTATTTCAAGACATAAGGGGTAATTGTCATACTTTTTAAACAATATATACTTCTTTTGAATATCAAAAGAATAGAATTGATTGAAATATTATCATAAGTTATTTGTATTTTCATTAAAACTTAATAATTCTTATCAGAAAACTTGGTTTCAATTTCCCAAGTAATAGTGATTAATATAGTTAGAATCAAATAAGAATAATCAGATTAACTAACCTTGTTTCCTACAAATAATATTAGTTGTATTAATAGAATTTATTGAAACAAACAAATATTAAACCAATTTCATTTTTTAAAGGTAAAGTGTTTCAGAGAAATACTGGTCAATTATTAAATATGTCTTTTGATATGTTTGATTATTAAATAAAAAATAGAGATACCATTTATATATTGTATTAAAATGATTTACAATGGCAAATATTTAAATATTCTAACAAATCATTATATTTGTTTTTTATATTTATCTCTTTATCTCTACCGACCATACCCATTTTAACACATTCCATATTAATCCTTTGAATTCCTTGGAAAATACATTTGTTTTTTTTTTGAATGAAGAATCTTGTTATTAAATGAATTAAAATTCTTATTTGTTTTATTTGAAATGGCTATAAAGGTGAATGTTTCTTTTTTCTTCAAATTGTTTTATTCAAAGTTTAAAACAAAATAATTCCATCAGCACACACAAAAACACATTAGATTTTATTATGAATAATTTCTCATGATCTATTTTATTAAACATTATGTATTTCAATATATATTTTTAATCTTTTTTTAACCTAAAACTTAGGAATCAAATTTAAAATAGTGACATTGAGAGAGGTATTTGGACGGAGGTTATGATATTATTTTATTTGGGTACAATGTTGTGGATTATAAGGGGTGGTATTATTTTTTTTAACTTTTAAAAACCATGAACTGAAGTAAGGAAAGGTTATGAAAAGAATAAGTTTTTGAGTAAACAAATAAGGGATATAAGAAAAAGTACCTTAGTTAACTTTACAGAAGATTTAAGAATTAGTTAAAAAACTCTGATTTTTGTTCTTTACAAAAATCATAATAAACTGGTAAAGAAACGAAAGAAGTTTTTAAAATTGAACTCATTTCAAATACAATCTTTCAACAATGAATAATAAAAAACCAGAAGGAAAAGTTGTTTCTGAAATAGGTAATACAGAGCCAAACAAAGTTAGTGATGAAAATGTAACCCCAGTTACTAGTTCATTTAACAAATATCCTGACAAACAGGAGTCTGTTGAGATTGAAATGGACAATCGAGTAAATGACTCACGATCTTATGACCACTCTCAAAATGATAATGAAGGTGTTGTTCAACAGCCAAGAAGATGGTATTCTAATAATGTTTCTCCTTCATTGCGTTCTGGTTTCAGTGAACAAGGACAAATGGGACGAGAGAATTGTCAATCAGAAATGGCTGAAGGAGTGAATAGTGAAGATTCATCAGAAACAAGTATTGCTTCAGTATCAAATCAAATTAGTAAGAGGGTACGTCCAGCTGTAGTGTTAAATGATGGAAGTAAAGAGGATGAAGAACAAGGAAGAAGCGATGATAATTTTGAAGATGAAAATGAAATAAAAGAAGACAAGTCATTACCACCTCATGACTTAGGATATTACGTTGCACGGTTAAGAACGATTATATATCCCAATTTTTTAAATTATTATTTGATGCATTTCTTATTTTTTACTGCTCTTTGTTTTGTTGGAGCAATTATTATGATTCTTATTGATAGTAAACTTAATTATATTGATGCATTATATACTGCTGTTTCCTCCTACACAGGAAGTGGATTAACAGTCATTGATCTTACAAAAGTAAAATTTGGAATTCAATTTATTTCATACTTATTAACTTTTATTGGCTCTATTGTATTAGATAGTTCATATTATATCCTTATTAAATTGTTCCGGATGGGTACTAAAAAACAAACAAAGTCATTAGAAGGGACTGCTCCTCAAGTAGTGATTGATGCTGCTATTGCACAAGCAAGGCATATTAATTCAACAGAAACAAAAACGTCTATACTTCTTCTAGTTGTTATTTGGTTATATAATATTATTGTTCAAGTGATTGGGTTTCTTCTTTTATTAATTGCATTTGCTAAAGACAAAGATAAAATTGAAGCTACAGGAGTTAATTGGGTTTGGTTTACCCTTTACCAAACTAATTCAGCATTTAATAATTGTGGAATTGTTTTATCATCTAACAGTTTAGTGTCTTTTTCAAATAATGCTGGAGTTACTATCATTGTATCAATATTAACAGTATTAGGAAATACATGTTATCCAATTGTATTAAGAGGGATTATAGAGTTATTAGGGATAATTCTTAAATGTACACGTTATGATAAAATTATTCAATATATTTTACGTTATCCACGTAGATGTTCAACGCATATTTACCCAAGAAAAGCAACGATATGGTTAATTATTGTATTTTTTATGATTACATTTTCTGAATTTATTATTCAAATGTCACTTGATTTTAATAATTTTAAAGATATTCCAGTTGGATATAGAACAATTGATATATTTGCTCAAAGTATTTCAACAAGAACTGCTGGATTTGCTATATTAGATTTTAGTAAAATATCAAGCGGATGTTATGTTATGATGATTGGATTTATGTATTTATCATCATATCCTATTACTGTTACATTGAGAGAAACTAATCCATATTTGAGACATAAAGAAAATTCTAACCAAGATAGTGGTATTGTTTATCAAGCAAAAAATATGTTAGCATGGGATGTAGTTTGTTTTTATTCATTTTATTTCTTAATTTGTTGTTGTGAACAAGATGCATTAAGAAAAGATTATACATATACTGAGTTCATGATTCTTTTTGAAGTTATCAGTGCATATGGTACTGTAGGGTATTCACTTCCAATGACAAATGGTGCATATTCTGTTTCAGGTGGATTTAGACCTATTTGTAAATTATTTATTTGTTGTGTAATGATGTTTGGTAAACATCGAGGATTTCCAGAAAGAGTAGATAGAGGGTTTACTCCATACCAAATTGTTATTAATAGAAAAGAGAATGAAGATTCAAGTTTGGAGTGTCAAGTTAATGATAGAAATGAAAAAAAAATTAGAAAAGAAGAAAAAACAAAAGTTCAAGCAGAAAACAATAAAGAAGGTAATACAAGTACTTCTGTAATTAGTGCCTTAGATACTCCATTAAGTCTTCCTCAAAGAAATCAAGTCAGTTCAAGAAATTTTGATGAAATTACATTTAGAGATAATGACTTATAAAGAATACAAAAATTAAATTAAAGAAATTTGAAAGAAATTTTTTAGTTTAAATAAAAGAAAAAATAAAATGATAAATTAATGAAAATTAATAATAATTAATATTATCACAGTCCTTGAAATAATCTGGTGTCATTAGATAATCCTATTTCTGATATATTATCTATTGTAGTTTGAAATGATTTAAGTGAAAATGAATTTTCTTCTATTTGTTCATTCATAGAAAGTACTGGTGTTTTTTCAATTTCTTCTTTTGAAAATGGTTGAATGAAAGAAGGGTCTGACAGTTCATTTTGTTGAGAGGTTTTAAAACGGTCAAATTGAATTTCATCCATTCCAGTATCAACAACAGTAGAACTTGAACTTCTAGGAGAAAGGCCATGTTTTTTTTTGTTATCAAGAAAAACGTTAAATGAAGTTGTTTTCTTTTTTTTATGAATAAACTGATCTTCTTCTGATAAAGGTTTAGTTTTTCTTCTTGCTCTTTCGTTAGGATCTCTTATTTTCTTAGAATAAGGATATTCAAATGAATCATTGGGATGTGATGGTTTTGAAATAAGTTCATTACCATATGAAATAATAGAAGGTATTTGTTGTCCTGGGGAAATAGAATTAAATTTTTCTTCTTTTTGAGTGAAAGGACATTCTTCCATAGCATTTTGTGAAATATAAATTGATTTTGTTTGATAATGTAGTTCAGATAAAACTGGAAGTAAAAAAGTGTAGTGTAATATTTGTGCTGCATTTGGTCTTGATATTGGATTTTCTTGAAGGATACAACGAAGGAGTAATTCTATTTCTAATGGAGTATCATCAGTGAGTTGTAATTCATACATATTTTTTGGTTTTTTAAATGGAAAAAGAAATAACATATTATATAACATTACTCCACAACTCCATATATCTGATGCCTGATCATATGAATTAGATGTACTAATTTCTGGTGCTAAATAATCTAATGTACCTACAAATGTAGAACACCCTTCTATTGTTGCTTTTTTTGCAATACCAAAATCAGCTAATTTTGCATTTCCATCTTTTGTAAGAAGAATATTATCAGGTTTAATATCTCGATGAATAATTCCATTGTCATGAACATATTCCAACGCAATCATTATCTGACCAAATAACTTTCTACATCTATTTAACTCAATTAATCCAAATATTTGGCCCTTTTCATCAGAGTTTTTTAGTTTTTTGTTTCTTTCATTTTCAATTAATTGTTGTAAACTCCCACCAGAAACATATTCCATGACAATATACATTGTAGTTTCATGACTGTACATTCCATTTACTTTAACAACATATTGGTGTTGTAATTTTTTTAATGTTTCAACTTCATCTAAAATAGGTTTCATAACTTCTTCACTAATAGCTTTATTCTTTTTATCAATAACTTTAACAGCAACAGAATGTTCATCACTTTCCTCGTTTTCAAATCCTTTTTCTTTATATAGGATAACTTTAGCAGTAGTTCCTTGACCAAGTGTTTTTATAATTGAATACTTTTCTGAAAAAGATACAACTTCATTGTCAATAAAAATATATGTTTTAAGTTTTGATCCAATACATAACTCACATGGTAATGTAACTACTGTAGAATTGTTATGCTCTAACTTACCATTTACTATTGTTCCATTTGAAGATTCGTCTTCAAAAAAAATATCACCATCATTCGTTCTCCTTATAATACATTGTTTTCTACTACAAGACGCATTATTACTGATAACAACATCATTATCCCCTGATCTTCCAATTGTATATTTGTCTTTAGATAATTGCAATACAGTAATAACCCCTCCATCATCAGCACGTAGTGTTGCCCAAACACTTGGTTTTCTTAATTTTTGAGTAGGTGCATCAACTTGAGTACAATTTTGAGTACATTCTTGTGTGCATACCTGAGTACAAGTTTGTGTCTCAGCAAATTCCATTTATTTCATAGAATTTTTTCTCTATTTTTTGTTTTTATTTTTTCTTTTTTATTTAAAAAAAATTTGATTTATTTATAATTCATTTATAGTTTTATATAGCATTTCTTAAAGAAATTAGTTAATTTATAAAAAAAATTTTAAAATAATAAAACAATATTTAATTTACAACAAAATGCATTTTTTTGTTTTTACTTTTTTGTTTTTGATTTTCTTTTGTGAGGGCAACTTTCTTTCAGATTGTAGATTATGTTTTAATCCTTTTCTACAAGATACTAGTGAGTCAAAAGAAGTAAAAGATAATGACATTAAATCTTCTTGTTGTTCAAAATATTTTCTGAGAATTTCATTCATTATTACTTTAACTTGAGCAGGATCTTCTTTCATAGATACTTCATAATAAAGAGCATCATTTTCTTTTGCAGTTTCTTGTATTTGAATATTTCTTTCTCTTCCTTCTTTTTGGTCTACTTTGGTAACAACCAAAACCATTATTTCTGTTTGACAAAAAGCATAATTTGGACTTCTTGAAAAGCCATCAAAGAAGTTGAGTGTTGCTTCATCATCTTGTGCAATAAAGAAAATATGAATTGTACCCATTTTACCATAATCAATACTTCTTAAATTATTGCTACAGGTAAATGCATTTCCACTGAACTCAGTTATTGTTGTTTGAACAGTAACATTTTCATATTGAAGTTTAATATCTGTGGTTTCCTTATCTGATGATGGATTATATTGTTTATCAAATGGGAGAGACTGAAGTAGGTTGAGGAAAGTAGTTTTACCGCAATTAAGATAGCCAAAGAGTACTACACTAACTTTTTGTTCTTCCATTCTTCTGTTATTTTTTGATTATTTTCAGTTTTAAACTACAGAGAGTGGAGTCTCTAGATGAAATGATGGGAGTTGATATAAATATTATTCAAAGTAATGATTTTCTTTTCTAATTTTGTCGTAGAAATAATCCTTTCTAACTCAAATCAAAAGAATGACATCTTCGAATAAATAAATTTACTAATAATAGATTCTGATTTTACAAAAATAACCATTATTCCAAATTATATGAAGAACAACTAATTTTAGATAACTTAAATGATTGTAATTTCTATATTTAATTACTGAATTAAAAAAATGTAAAAAATATCGGAAATCGCAGAGTTATCTTCATTCAATTATATGACGCACACCATTTCCCTTCTGCTGGAATACTCCAATTATCCATTGGAATAAAATCAAGTGTAGCCTTAACGCTATCATCGAATGCAGCGAATGCCTCATAAGGAGTAATTAAAACTTGTCTAAAATCTTCTCCCCAATCAATACTCAATCTTGGACATGCAACTTGGACCCAAACTTTAATATCTTTGTAACTATCTAATAATGCAGTTGATATTTCATCAGCATAGGTAACTACTGGTATTTTGTTATTCTTTTCTAATAAATTAATAATATTATCTGTAACTTTTTGATTTCCTTGACGACCAAGAGTACTAGTAATAACCCCAATATATTGTTCTTTTCTTGCTGTATCAATTTTAGTTCTATATTATTAGTTCGATCTTTCATTTTTTTAAAATGAATTATACAAACTTCATTATTCGTTTAAATTTCTCTTTATTAACAAAAACAGGAACAAGTGTTTGATTTCTTGGATCATATGAATAAACTTTATTATCTGGATAATTATATGCAACAGCTTCTGCATGGAAAAGTCCTCCTCCAATAAAAACAACACTCATTTCTCTTTGTTCTAATGGAGGGACTGTACATCCTAAAGTGATACCTTCTGGTAGTGGATCAATTTTAGGAAGAATAACATTAAATTGGGTTAATAATTGTTTTAATTGTTGTAGATATGGTTGATATTGAATTGTTGCAACAATTGCAAGGTCTAGTTTTTTATCTAATTGTTTATTAATATTATTTATTAATGGTTCAAGAGGGATATTAGCTACAACAGGTATGTACATACTTGCAACTTTTAGGCAATGAGGAGGAACTAACAGAGTTAAATTATATTACAACAACTGGTCTGTTTAAAAAGAAAGAACCCTACTAACAAACTTAATGGTGAATGACCAAAATGAACAAGAAAATCTGAATGAATATAAGATGTAAATCTATCATCAACACAACATGCTCCATAAACATAGTCCGTGTATAATATAAATTCAACTTTTGGTAATTGTTGTTCTAATCTTTGTTGAAGACCAACACCTTGAGCAATAAGACCTTCAGGGAATTGAAGTACAACTCTCTTACAATTTCTAGAAGTAACTTCTTTAATAATTTCACTCTCTTTCAAATCAAATTCCATTAATTGAGAATTACTAGTTTTTTGCCAAGAAATTTAAGTAGGTAAATTCTTTTAATAAGGTAGTTTTGATTTGGTTAGTCAAAAAATAAGGAAAAAGAATAAAAACTTAATCAACTAAATTAAATTCTTATTATTTTTGTTGAGTTTTCATTGATTTAATCAATTTTTCTTGAGCGTCGTTAACTTTTTGAGCCAAAGAAGCATCCATTGGTTCGAGTTTTTTAATATCATTTTCTAAATTATCGTGCTTTTCTTTAATATCTTTTTTTAATTTGTCATAATCAGATAATACAAAAGCTTTACCTAATGCTACATAAGTTTCTTTTGGTTGAACTTGTAACTCGTCAATAACAATCTCCATTCGATAAAGCTCTTTTTTCATCATCATCATTCGTGAATGAACATTATTGTATTGTCTTACAGATGATTGATACTCTTCCATTTCCTATAATATTTAATAGTTTTATAGTTTGAACGCTTATTACTATTTTTTATTATTTTTTTTTTATATTTTTACTATATTTATTTTTATATTTTAGTTCTCTCTTTGTATTATTTGTTATTGCTTTAATAAATAATAATGTCTAATTCATGAGAATAAATGCCAACACGTCATTATTATTAATGAAAACTTAATCAAATATAAAAAAAGAAATGGGAACAAAAAGAATTAATTGCCATTAAAAAGAAATCATTAATAGCAAATGTTTGATTACTACCAAAACAGAAGTTGACGGAAAGTCTAAAAAGGGTTTTATTGTATGGCTCTTAAACTCTAAAAGGAAGAAAAAGACCAAACTATGTCAGATACTATTCTTGCTAATGTAGCTGCCAAAACTAAATCACTTGAAGAACAACAGTTATACGTTTGTTAAAGAAATTAAAATAACATAAAAAACAACTAATAGGAATAGGCGTATACTAATTTTATTAATTATATTATAAACGAAGAACCATTTGTACATAATATTCTCAAAGACCTTAAAGATGGTTTAGTTTTAATCCGTTTATTAAGAAACCTTAGTGGGTGTGATATTCCTAATTCAGTTGAAAATCCATTAAAAGATATTGAGAAAATTCAAAATTTAAGTGCTGTTATTCAATTTGCTAAAGACGATGGAATTAAGATATTAAGTTCTGCTGAAGAAATCTTAGCAGGAGATAGAAAAGGAATTCTTTCATTCATGTACCAAATCTTAAATAAATACAGACTTGGAAGTTTGTTATTTTTTGTTTATTTATTAATAAAGAAGAATAAGAATTTTAATTTTTAAGATTGTCCTGTTAAAATGGTTCACTTTGCAAAATGGATTAAGTCAAGTTTAAAAATCAATAACTCTGATTTTGATTTAAAGAAAGAATTGTCAGAAGGTGTTTTATTAGCAAAATTACTTAATTATTTACAAAAAGATATTATTGATTTAAAAAGTTTAGGTTCAAATCACTTAGAAAACATTCAAAAATGTATTGATATTGGATACTCTAAATTAAGAATTCCTAAATTAGTTAAGGCTGAGAATATTGTTGAAAATACTGTTGACGATTATTGTTTATATTTCTATTTAACATTCTTCATTATGAAAGAAACTCACTTTGAAGATAATGAAATGTTAAAAAAGATTGCACAAGGACTTAGAGAAAGAAAAATTCAAGCTCGTAATCAACTTAAAAATAGGTTAGAAAGAGTCTTAAAGAAGATGATTGATCAAGCTAAAAATACAGAAAAAATGTATCAATGCTCTGATAATACTGAAACTCCAGAAGAAGCTAAAACTTTGATTGGAATGATCTCTCAACTTGAAACAATGTATATAAATTTTGAAAAGATTTCATTACCAAAAGGATATGTGGAAACAAATTGTGATCTTACAAATGATCCAATGTTAAAAGAACTTAAAGAATGGGAAAGTAAAATTAATATAACTCAAGAAATTATGAGAAAGTTAATTAGTCTCATAAACCAAAAGAAAAGAATGAATGTCTTAACTCCAAGAAGAGTTGAACCATCAAAAGAAGAAGTCAAAATAAACTCAACTACTGAAACAAATCATTTAGAGAAACAGTCTAATAATAAAAAACAAGAAGTTGATGATTTAAAACAGAAATTATCAGTTTCTGACACAAAAAAAGTTATATCCAAAAACGAAACTGATTCTGTTCTTGAAAAAACTCAACAAGAAATTCAAAAAGAAGTAGAACAAAATAAAAGAATTGAAGCACTTCAAAGCTTATTGATTACAAAAGAACAAGAAATTCAAAAAATTAAACTTGACCTTACTAATGAAAAGAACTTACATGATACTGAAAAGAAAAAAAAGGAAGAAGAAGTTTTAACTTTGAAAAAGAGTCTTGATGAAATAAAAAAATCTCATGAAATAGAAAGAGAGTCTAATGACAAAGAAATTAAACTTCAAAAAGAAGAAATACAATCTCTTAAAAGAGAGGTTTTTGTTCTTGGAGAATCAAAAGGAGATGAAGTGAAGAAAATGAAAGAGTTAATGGAAGAAAAAAATGATGAAATAACAAGACTTAGAGACCAACATGATCTAGAGATCAAAGCATTAAAGAAAGAATCAGAGACAAAAGAATTGGAAAAGAAAACCAAAGATGAAGAGATATTAAAATTAAAACAAGAATTAAGCACTCTTAGAGAATCATTAGAAACTGAAAGAAAACAAAGAGAATTAATTGAAAAAGAAAAAGATGAAAATGCTATAATTTTCAAGAGAGTAATTGAAGAAAAAGATACTAAACTTACAGAAAATGAACAAAATATCAATCAGTTAGAAGACCTTATCTTAAACATTAAAAAAGAGTGTGCTGAGTTGGCAATGAAGTTTAATGACAGAGAGATGGTTTGTGTTGAAAATGAAACTGACAAAAGAGTATTGTTCAATTCATTAGCACTATCAATTAAAATGGTACTTCCAACAACATCAAAGTTTGATAACACAATGCTGTATAATGAATGTACAAATCAAAAAGTTCCAATAAAGAATTGGAATATTTGGTTGGTTAATAGATTAACTAAAAAGTAAATAAGAAAAAATGAATTGAAACTCTTTTTTTGAAGAAGTTTTATGATTATTAAAAAAATTAAAAACATACTTATCTAAGTTTTGTTTAAATCTTTTTTAGTTGATAACTCTTTTTAATATGAATACTAATGTTATAATATCTCCATCTCAACATCAGTTGGCTAAAGGAGTTTGTGTTGTCATTGACGTTTTAAGAGCTTCATCAGTTGAAGCTCATTTATTTTTATGTAATGCTCAAAAAATTATTCCACAAAGTGATATTGAAACAAGTTTACAAACTAAAAAAGATCATCCAGAAGTTTTATTGATAGGGGAAAGACAGGGAATTAAATATGATGGTTTTGATTTTGGTAATTCACCAACAGAATTAATGTTTGTTAATTTAAATAATTTATGTAATCAGTTCATTGTGATTAATTGTACAGAAACAATAAAGAAAAAATAAGAAATAAAATATGTGTTCATAATACTCAACAAGGAACTCAATCACTGGTTGTTTGTAGAAACAATCCTCAAGTTACCAGAATATTCATGTGTAGCATTAATAATTGTCAAGCAACTATCGAATATTTAAAAGCACTCCATCCTCCTTTTATAACGTTTGTGGCTTCAGGAGATGAAATAACTTGTAGAGAAGATTTGTTATATGGTCGTTATTTAGAAGCGTTGTATCTAGGAAAACAACCAGAAATGACTTTAGAAGAAATGATAGAAGACATAAAACATTCTTCAGGAAGTAAATTCTTTAAGGGATTACCTCAATTTCCTGAAATTGACTTTTATGAATGCTACAAACTTAATTCAATCAATGTAGTAATGGAATATGTAGACGGAGAAATACGTCAAGTAAATTAAAATGGAATAAACCAAAAAGAAATAATTAAATTTTTTTATTCATTTTTATTTAAAACATTTATTATTGGTTGATTATTCAAATTTTCATTGTTTTGAATAATCACAATAATAAAATTATCATATTTAAATTCTTTAAGTTCCATTGAACAAAATTCAATGAATTTAATGAACTGTATCAAATAAATAAGGAAAAAGAAATTAAAAAGGTTGTGTTTTAAGTTAAAACTGAACTACAAAAAGTATTATTTTAATGTTTGGAAGAAAACCATTTGGATTTTCATTTTTTTCTAAGAATAAACGTTTGTTATAAATTATTATAAAAGAAAATATTTATACTAGAAAAAATAATAGTAATTAATAGCAAGAGTATTTGGTGTTGACATCAATAAAATTAGTTTAAGTATGATAATTGATGATGTTCCATTGTTTTTAACTGATGCAGGACAATTTATAATGGGAAGTTTGCTTAGTTTATCTCTATAATGAAAAGAAATAATTACTAGTGTAGATATTGTTGAAGGAATATTTAGAATACCTGGAGAACGTCAATTGGCTGATAATATGAAGAAAACTATTGAAAGAAAAGGTGATTTTTTATCATTAGTCAAACGTCCTTTAAGTGATGTTCATGCAGTTGCAAGTGTTATATTAATGTTCTTAAGAGAGTTACCAGAACCATTAATTACATTTGAATCATATGACCTCTTCATTGATTGTGCAAAAACATACGAAATAGATCAATACACTAAATCTAGTGCACTCAGTGTAGCTATTAATACATTTCATGCAATAGTTAAAACACTACCACAAAGGAATTTAAAAATACTTGCATTTTATATGAACTTATTTTATGTTTTTACTATTAACAGTGATGTACATAAAATGCAAGCAAATAATGTTGCTATTTGTATTGCTCCAACATTACTTCGTTCACAAAAAGAATCATGGGAGAGTGCAATATCATCTATTAAATATCAATCTATAGTGTGTACATTTTTAATCAAATACTATCCACTTATTTTTCGTGATACGTGTGATACTAAAGGGCTGTTATATCCTCAATACCAAAACGTTTCAAATAAAGACAAGAATAAGTTATTAAATCAAATGACAAAAACTGTTCGTTTATCAACTCCAGAAAAGCCTAAAAGAAAAGCTAGAAAATCTATTTGGGAAGATTTCCGTAAAGATTTGAAAACAAAAGATAAAGAAGTAGAAAAAAAACATATGAGAAGTCGTGAAATGAAAAAAACACAATTTACACCTTCTACTCTAAAACTAGTTACTGCTGATGATAAAGAAAAAGAAGAAATTAAAGAAGAAATCAAAAAGAAAAGACCAAAAAGTGAGAGTATGGCTTTAGCTATTATGTTTATTGATAATAATGATAATACTATTTTACTTCCTCAACTTAATCAACAAGATATCCTAAAACAATTAAAATTTACTACAATTAAAGGTCAGGGAAAATTAAAAATTAATAATTTTAAAGTTCATACAAAGAAAGAGGCTGAACAATAAGTATAGAATTTCATTTGAAAATAGTTAATTTCTTTTTTAATAGATTAAAGATCAAATTAAATTACATCAAAGTAAATAATAAAATAATAATAATTTCAAAAATAATAAAATTTAAATTATAAAAATATAAAAAATAACTAAAAAATATAACATTTACAAAATGCAAATTGAACAAATTTTTAATGAATTATGGAAAGAAACTCCATTAGAAAAAACAAATGTTCATGTTGTTGTTGGGTATACTTTAGAAGCAATGAGACTTATGAACCAACGATGTGATGAATATAAAGTCTTAGAATTAGTGAAAAAAACTCCTCATGATGAAGACAATATTTTAATCAAGCCAAATGAAAGTACCAACCTTTACACTAAACTCCCAACAAAAAAGTCTATTGATTTTAACTCAATAGAATTCACTGTTCATAAAACAACAAGTGAAATTTTTGAAGAGATGAAAAGAAAACAACAACCACAAGAAACAAATTTTGTTTTTAATTCTTCAAATGCTTCACATCCAAATATTTGTCTATTTAACCAACCTAAAACAAACACATTACAAAATTTATTAGAGTCATTTAACAAAGAAAAACTAAAAGCTACAATGAAACAAGAAGCGAATTCAATTGTTCAGTCACAACAAAGTATTCCAATCATTCAACCAAAAAGAGTTCTTTTACAACCAAGTTTTAAAGATTTTGTACAAACCAATCCTGAAGAAATTAATATAGTTTCTCAACCAATAGTTGATAAAAAACCAATAACTACTAGTGATATGAATCAACACCTACCTATTACTCTAACTCCTGAAATTTCGAAGTTATCAAATAACAAAAATACCAAAATTGTTGGAACCTGTCAAAAATATGAAAAATCATATGTAAGATTAGTTGAAAATACTGACCCAACATTAATCAGACCTCTTAATGTATTAGAAAAGTCTTTTGAATTTGTAAAATCGAAATATGAAACTAATCATGACTATAATTATATTTCAGACCAATTAAAATCTATTAGACAAGATATGGTAGTTCAAGGATTAAATTGTCAGTTCACTAGAAAAGTATATCAATATGATATTCAAATAGAACTTGAAAATCAAAATTTAACTGAATTTATTGTGTGTATTAGCAAATTATTAGAATTAGATGAAAGTATTCATGTTAAAGATGATCTTCATTTTGAGTGTGTTTCTATTTTATTACTTGATTTACATAAGTTTATTCAAAAGAAAACTACTATTGGATTATATAATAAAATTTATGAATTTATTGATGACATTAAAAAGTCTTCATTAGTCCAGTTTGTAATTGAACTTTTAAAGTACTTCGAAAATGGTGAGGTTATTGCAATTTCATCATTATTAGAAAATACTAAAATCCCTTCTTTACTCTCTCACTACATACAATTGTACTTCCTACCTGCAGTTCGTTCATTAGTTATAGAAGAAATTAGACGTTCTTTTAGAGGAAATTGGCCTGTCCCATATATTAAAAAAATTTTAGTATTTTCTACAGATGAAGAGTGTGCAAATTACTTAAAGTCACCAGAGTGTAGTTGTTATTCAGATTTACAATTAAGCAGTGATAATTCAGTTATTGAAATATTAAATCCAAATAAAAAACAAAGTGATTGACTTGATTATAATGAGTTTTTTAGGTTATTAAATATTAAAAATAATTTTCCTGTTCATAAGAATTTTAATAGAAAAATCTATTAATTAAATAATAATCTATAGAATAACTTATTACCATTTTATTTATAAATAATATTTTAAATAATAATTTTATTATTAAAATATAAAATAAAAATACAAATTATTACCATTAAGAACAAAATAATAATATTAAAAATGTATCGAAAGAATATTATAGAATTCTAATAAAATCTAAAAGCACTATATTTAAATAAAACATGCGTTTTCATGCCAAATGGATTAAAAAAATATATTATAATTTATAATTTCAAATATTTGATCTTTATATTATTGAATATTTAAGAGTACTTAGAACTTAATAATTTATTATGATTGCTCTCTTTTTGTGTATTGCATTAGCTTCTGCTAAATTAGGTATTGATGTTTCTCAACCAACATCTACATCATCATTCACTTGCCTTAGAAATAAGGGATTCACTACTATGGTTATTGTTAGAGCTTGGAAATCAA